CTAAATGGCGGTTCAAACCCACCAGCCACTCCTCGGAAGGAAGGTTGGGCAATCCTACTTCCGTAGTGATACTGCCTCGGAAAGGAGGGGTCGCTATGAGTCGGGGCCAACTTGACGGCACATAACAACAACAACAACAACAAATGGGGATAGTAACAGAACCTACTTCATATACACAGATTCCATGAGGATTAAATGAGGTAATATATAGACAGTACTTAACATTTCTTTGTATAAACTAAGTGTTCAATCAATGTTAACTGATATATTAAGGAAAAAAAAAACCACCCACCCACTGCCATTGAGTTGATTTTGACCGAAAGTGACCCTATAGGACAGAGTAGAACTGTCCCATAGGATTTCCAAAGCTGTAAATATCCACAGAAGCAAACTGCTACAACTTTCTCCCACAGAGTGGCTGGTAGGTTTGAACTGCTGACGTTTTGGTTAGCAGCCGAATGCTTTAACCAGTGTACCACCAGAGCTCCTAGTTGATATATACATAATGATAGATATATACACATAATGATGATATTGCCTTTTGAAATTTATGATTATTGCCTGCATTAATCAAGTATTCATGAACACACTATTACATGCCTAGCAAGCACTATGTTAAACACTGTGAGGAAAACATATAGAAGAAGGAAAACCCTGCCATCAAACTACCTGGAAAGAAATGCACATGAAACAACTTAGAGAACATTTAAATACTAAACCACATGGTATGGTAAGAACAACTGGACCTGAGAGACTGGAAAGATCACCGTAAATAGTAGTTGGAAAAGACTTTATTGAAGAGTTGGGCCTTAAATGATGGAAGGCCAAGGGAATGAAACAAAAAATGCAGATTGATGAGACCAAGAATGCTTGTTTGCATGAGAAAGAGAGAGAAGACTAGCTTGTCTGGAGGGGAGAGGCAGGTGGAGGAGTGTGTGTGTGTCTGTGTGTGTGTGTGTGTAAAATAATCATGAGTAGGTACAATGGTGCCAGATTAGAGAGGTCTCAAAAGCTAGGTAAGGAGCTCTGGTGGCACAGTGCCTAAGGCATTTGACTGTTAACCAGAACCACCAGCCACTCCATGGAAGGAAGACTGAGCAATCTACTGCCATTAAAGATGTAATGCCTTGGAAACCCAAAGGGGGTTGCTATGAGTCAGAATCGACTCGATGTCAGTGAGTTTTCAAAAGCTAGGTAAAGGCAAGCTTAGATTGGATACACTGAGTATCAGGCAGTGTTTGAGGTGACTGCATCTAATAGAAGGATGCAGGAGACATTAGAAATGATAAGAGCAGACACAGAACAGTGTGAGGATGGGTGATAAAGGTGGAATGGAGGGAAAGGAGCAGCTAATGTAGAAATGGAAAGACTACTCCAAGTTAAAGATACTAAAAAATAAGCAGTCAGATGAGTCCAAAGTTAATATCCTGAATGATTTTAAGGATGGTAATACTATTGACACAAACATATAATTTGGCAATGGAAAGACAATTTGGGATAACAGCACTGACTTTAGACGTAATGAGTTTAAGCTGAAAGTGGGATTTAAAAAGAAAAAAAAATCCCTATTGCCCAGTGGTTCTCAACCTGTAGTGGAACTATTTGGAGATGTGTTGAATTGTCACAACTGGCTGTTACCCATCCTACAATGCACAGGAGAATCCCCAACAAAGAATCAGCTGGTTCAAAATTTGAAGATTGCCAAGGTTGCAGAAATCCTGCTACAGGTTATTGAAAATAAAAGAGAAAGCAGACGAGATGTAGATTCAAGGGGGATAAAGGTGATTCTTGATCCCAAGAGTGGTTTCCAACGAAGTATCATTAAGAAGGAGAACATTAAAGAACTAAGGAGACACAATTTTGAGGACTGACATTGTGGTAATTATGATTATAAATAAGGAGTATGCATGATACTCTCATTTGAAGTCTATAAAACTGAAGTTATGTAGGTTTATAGAATCTGGTATTACTTAATACAAAGTTACCATGGTTTCCAAAGGTCACGCAAATTGATTTTAATACTTACAGCTCATGTAGAATTATATGTCATTTTGAAAATGCTTACCTTCAGTAACTGTCCCAGCACCACATGATTCTGTCAATCCATAACCCTGGCCAACTGGGCAGCAGAAGCAGACATTCATGAATCGGTGTGTCTGAGGAGACAGTGGTGCTCCACCAGACAGCATCATACGGACATTCCCTCCTAGCAGAGCCTTCACTTTTTTAAACAGTATCCTGGATAAGAAGGGGAATAAATTACTTTAATACATACACACATTATTCTTGCCAACACACACTAATTTATAAGCTCTGAGAAGGATCTCTCAACTTTGCTTGAACGTCTAAATTTCATCATCATGTTGATAAGGAGGTTAGCAAAGCAACAATAACTAGTAACACCTTGAAAAAATGCTAGAAAAAATCTTATAAATGCAGGCAAATGTACAGTGTCTAGAAACTGCTTTGACACCCAATAAATAAAATGATGACATCCAAAAAAGAAAAGTTAAAGTTATCTCTGGGACACATACTCACCTATCTTATCTCCCCTTTCCAATGAAAAATACTTCCCCATCCCCCAGGCACATTTAAAATAACTCATTATCCATATACTTACAATGCTGTTTTATGAATACAATAAATTAAAAACGTTCATGTGCAATAAATTCTGAAGTAAAGCTCACTTTTTTAAGTTAGAAATAATATTGTTTTCATATTCAAATGTCTTAATTCAAAAATCTATTCTGGTTTGTCTTAAAGATTTACTCAGTTATTAAATTACTGAACAAAAGAGAAATTCAATCTTATTGTCATGGTGGTGACACTCAAACTAAATTAGACTTGCCATTTACTCATTCATCTTCCAGATTTAAAAACACATAAAAGATTTAAAGGCTCAAACTACAGAGCCTAAGGAATGTACTTACAGATTGCAGAGAGGTGCATCATAACCCTTTTTGATCTGTTCCAATTTGTAATCGTACCCTATCTTGAACAGAGTTTTCTGAATATAGTTCATCTCTTGGACTTTGCTCATAACATTCTTATAAATTCTATCCATGATTTCCTAAAAGGTAAGCAACATATTTCATAATCTGAAAAGAATTATACCAGCACTGAGAAAGTCTTTAGTTGAAGATACCTTACTTATTTTTACCTTTCAGGTTAAAGTCTTTAGTATAATGGATATATTTATTTCCTTTATTACAAAATACATTTCACTGACCTCAGCTGTTCTCTATTTCAAAAAGAGTTTAAAAAAAAAGAATAGTTTTTTTTCATTTCTCTATACTAATTCATCTAAAATTTTAAGAAACATTCAACTAGAATATGTAACACTTACGCAGTTTTCACAAAGAACTTAATTTTTTATCTTATCTTAAATATATTGATTCCCAAACAGTACTGAACAAACTCAACTATGTTGATGTTTTTCTTTTTATTACTACTACTTCTTACAACATTGTGGAGAGCTTGATCAATTGTTCCGAATCTTACATCCTTGTAATATGGGCATTTCTATGCCAAAGCAATAGAAGCAAAAAATAGAAAAGAAAAGAAAAGAATAGGGCTCTTGCTAATGGCTATTTGGAAAATTAGAGGTAGGACTCGGTTTGGGACTGGCATTACTCTAAGGCTAATACTTACAAACAAAAATCAAACAAACTCCAGACTATCATTAATTACATGTTTTTGAAATTAAAAATAAAAAACAGTTGCCATGGAGCTGATTCTGATTTATGGTGACCCCACGTGCATCAGAGGAGAACTGTGCTCCACAGGGTTTCCAATGGCTGATTTTTCAGAAGCACATCACTAGACTTTTCTTCTGAGGTGCCTCACGGTAGGTTCAAAGATTTTGTTGTTGCTGTTGTTATGTGTCGTCGAGTTGGCCCCGACTCATAACGACCCCTCCTTGTGTTTCTGAAGCGGTATCACTACAGAAGTAGATTGCCCAACCTTCTTCTGAGGGGTAGCTGGTGGGTTTGAACCGCCAGCCTTCTGGTTACCAGCCAAGTGCCTTAGGCACTATGCTACCAGAGCTCCTAGGTTCAAAGTATTAACCTTTTTTTCTTACTAGCTGAGTGCTTAACCCTTGGCACCACCAAAGGACTCCTTATTCATAAATACTTAACTTGAAATAGTCATAATAGCAATAATCAGTTTACACTCTTAAATTCTGCTACAGTGTATAAATTTAATAGCAGCCTAGGACCAGTCACAGATGAGGACAGAGTAACCATCCCTTTAAAAGACTACTAGGCAGTTAAGCACGTACAGTGTTGTTTTTACCAGCTCCACAAAAGGAATCACTATTGTATAAGTGAACTATGTGTCTAGATCTATGACTGAGAAATCCCAGTAGTTGACTTTTATAATCATCCCTCGAAAGCGTAGGGGAGACAATTGTATAAGAACTACTCCCATACTCCTTGCAACACCAGACGATAATCATAGGCATGGAAAGGTCTCAATGAGTAAGGAACACAATACAGTTGCAACAAATCGGCACTATTATTCAAATCACCCTTTATCTCAACCTAACATCACAAGATGTTCAACTAAGTCACTTCTTATAAAAAGTAGTAATTTATTCTGAATTCATACACCGTGAATATTACAGTACTAAAATGGGCAAGTGATTTAATCTGAGTCTGTTACATGATTTGTAAAATGAAGGTACTACCTCGGAGTGGTTTTGTGAGGCATTAAATATGATAATGTATCTAAAGGATTTAGCACAGTGTCTCAATAAATGGTAGTGCCTAAGGCATTTGACTGCTAACTAGAAGCCACTCCTTGGAAGAAAGATTGGGCAATCTACTTCCATAGTGATACCTTCTTAGAAACCCAAGGAGGGGTCGCTGAGTCAGATCCAACTCGACGGCAAGTGAGTGTTTTAGAGTTAATGTGATTCCCAAAGAACCCTGGCAGTGCTAGCACTTGGATGCAAAGAGAAAAGGTTGGTGGCTTGATCCACCAACTGCTCCATGGGAGAAAGATGTAGCAGTCTCAGAAAGATGTGGCAGTAAAAGAGTACCACCTTGGATCATGGAGTTGGCGCGGGATCAGGCAGTGTTTTGTTCTGCTGTGCACGGGGTCGCTATGAGTCGGAAACGACTCAACGGCACCTAACAACAACAACAAACCTTGGAAACCCTATGTGGCAGTTCTACTTTGTCCTATAGGGTCGCTATGAGTTGGAATTGACTCAACAGCAACAGGAAATTGATCTTTTATTCTGATCCAGGAAACAAACAGATTCAGAAAATAGAATCTCTCCCAAAAAAAAATAAATCTCAGTAAAAAGATTTTTTAAAAATAAAAATTCTATTTATAGAGGTATGGGAGACATTAAGGGAACCAATGAGGTTTGGTGAAGTAATCAAGGGACTAGCAACAGGGGACACATTTCACTATCCCTAAAAGTGAATGGGTAAGAGGAGGGGATGGTGTCATTGGAACCTGGATAACGTTTGTAGCCACGGGAAAGAGACTGTTCAACAGGTGTCACGGCAAATGCCAAAAATTACAGCCCTGCAGGAAGGAATAAAGGTAGTAAGTATGCAGACCTCTCTCTCTTTTCCTGCTCTTGGGTCTCTCATGAGTACTTCCAACTGGCAGAATTCAACCAAAGATAAGAAAGGAAACCTGGGTGATTCACTTGCAGAAGTTGCCTTCCCAAGGCACAAAGTAGGGTAAAGGGCCGATAACTGAAGGACAAACAGCCTATGTGCTAACTGCCTGCTGCTCATCCTTTAAAATGAAATTCAGACATTACTTCCTTGAGACCTTAGCTTTTCCTTCTGTGTTCTCTCATACAGTTTATCAGAGAGCCCTGTACTTTTGAGTAGTAACGCCAATACACTGTTTCAAAAAAAATTCTAAATAAAGAGCCAGTGTACTACTAACCACAAGGGTGGTGGTTTAAATCCTCCCAGGAGTGCTGCATGATAAAGTCCTGTGGTTGTTATGTGCTGTCGAGTCAGACCCGACTCATAGTGACTGCTCCTTGGGTTTCCGATGCAGTATCACTATGGAAGTAGATTGCCTCATCTTCCTTCCAAGGAGTGGCTGGTAGGTTTGAACCACCAACCTTCTGGTTAGCAGTCAAGTACCTGAGGACCTATGATCTAATAATAAGACTATAGGCACTGGGGAGGGGGGAGACTATAGGCACTGAAAACCCTATGGAACACAGTTCTAGTCTGAGGCATATGGGGTTGCCATGAGTAGGAACTGACTGAACAGCAAAGGGTTTGTTGGTTTGTACTACAGTGGTTAAGAAGACTCTGGAATGACATTGGTAGAGTTCAAGTTTTGCCTCTAGCACCTAGCACAAGTTTCCTTTTTTAAAAAATAAGGATAACAGGACTCATCTACTAGTCTTAGAATTAAGTGAGAAATTCACCTAAAGCATGTCCCAACCACAAAACCCACTGCCATCAAGTTGATTTTGACTCACAGCAACCCTACAGGACAGAGGAGAACTGCCCCATATGGTTTCCTGAGCTGTAAATCTTAACGAAAGCAGACTGCCTCTTCTTTCTCCTACAGAGTAGCTGGTGGGTTCAAACTGAAGACCTCTTGGTTAGCAGCCAAATGCCTCAACACCTGGGCTCCTCCTAAAGTACATACCACATAGTAAAAATTCTGTAAGAACAAAGTAAGCACTATGCTCACTATTGTTGTTGTTATGTGCCGTTGAGTCATTTCTGACTCATAGTGACCCCTCCTTGGGTTTCTGAGGCAGTATCACTACAGAAGATCACCCAACCTTCCTTCTGAGGAGTGGCTGGTAGGTTTGAACCACCAAGCTTCTGGTTAGCAGTCAAGTGTCTTAGGCACTATGCTACCAGAGCTCTCATGCTCACTATTAGTTATAACATTTTTTTTAGTTTTTAGTCCGAAGCCTTTCTTTTCAAGTTTATCAACTTTCCTTTCTTTTCCTTTCAGTTTCTACAGCATCTTTCGATAAAAAGGCAATGGCTGTTCTGACCTACTCTAATTCTTTGGCCATTTGGCAATTTTGTAATTAGCTACTAAAAAAGCCATAAATATCTGCCATCTGCAACTCTTAGAAAAACTTGGACTTAAAACTTTAAGATCTCTAGTATTCCATGTATAAAAACCATTTTGTGAAAGATACTGGACTAAGGTTTAAAGTAGGATCATAATACAAGCAGTAGTGATACACAGTCCCACTGGGGTTTTAGAAGGTATAAAAGTGCTAGAGTACGTTCCGGTAAGATGGACTAGGCAGATAGACTGCACAGATCCTCTTCAACAAAGAAAAGGGAAACCAATTAACACAGATACAGAAGATAATCCTGGACCCCTGAGCCACGAAGGGAAGGATATATATGTGGACTAAACTCCAACTAGTAGAAGAATTTGAATGAAAACACTGAAAAAGGAGATATATGGAGCTGTGGTCTGGCAGCGATCCTGACGGCACAGACAACTTGGATATTGCCAAGTGGTGGTAGGACCTAAGAATTAACCTAA